TGGTGCAAATTACTGACCTCTGTCATCATTTTAAGTGGGGGAACTTGCACAATCGGTGGCTGACTAAATACTTTTTTGCCCCACTGTATTCTGTCAACAGTTATTCCTGTTCCAGTTCCTTCAAGTGTTTGAGTCACTGATTACACATAAAAACTAATTGAGTTTAAATATAGCAAATCTACAGTATGTGTAACATACAGAGCATGAGTTGGTTAATGACTTGGGTGTTTTTAGGTTCTCTGGATTCCACAGAAGTGACTTACTCCACAAAAGCCCAAGCTGACAGGCCATCCCTGCAGGACACTCCCATTTCTTCATCAAAGAAACTGCCAGGTAAGATAGTTCCTGCCTTTCACTCACACTCACTCTGGTAATAGCAGATCGGCAATAAAAGCACTTAATAATTAACTTATCATTTCCTGTTGTCAGCTTTCTTGCTCAAGTTTAAGGTAACCTGTTCTGCTTGTCCTTATTTGACTATGCATAAATCATCACTGTGTGACTAAAGTTCAGCTTCAGACTGCTCTAGACGCCAAGTTTATTTATGTTTCCTCCACTCTCAAAGCTAGCAGAGTCAAAAAGACAAAGCTTGTGATGGTATGGCTGTTTAATGCACTAAGCTTTATTTGGCCGTTTCAGATCCAGGAGCCTCACCCCTGTGATGTTCGAGTCTGTTTGCAGAGGCAGTAATTTAGAAGAAAGTTCACTTAAACGAAGAAGGTGCTAAAACCAGGCCTTGCTTCGTCCTCTGTGTGAAGCTAGCAGTGTAAGATAAAAATGATTATTTTCAATCATACAAAGCTACTCTACAGTTTGAGTGTGTTATTGGTCTTCTTGCCAATACAAGGTGTAACAAAGTTTAGAGACATTGCCTATTAAAACTTAAATATGGACCGTCTCTATTTCAAGGTTGTGTGCGTGTGCATCTGGATTACTTCCAGGTCAGGTGCAATTTTCAGATTCCAGGAAACCCTTTTCTGACCACTTGCATAGAGAGTAAACATACAGAGCTGGGTTTCAGTCTGCACTGTCAGGACAAGGAGAAAAACTTTTTTTTTAGTTATTTGTGACATTCACAGGGTTGTTTTCCCATGAAATCATCTCAGTGTCAGACTGTAAATAGAGAGGTCTATATACATGCTGGTGTGTCTGAGGGAGAACACTTTACCGACTTTTAAGAGGCAAGAAGAAGAGGATGTTTTACCCTCTTCATGGCATTGTACACCAGCTTAGTGCATTAAACAGCCATACCATCACAAGCTTTGTCCAACATGATATACAAATTCATGTCTCCTATGTCACCATTTGGACACAATGGAGAACATCCAGAAAGCATAGCAGAGGCACAAGTACAAGAGTCGGAAAAAGGACTTTGAGGAAGCGATTGAAATCTAGCAGAGGCGCTGAAAGCTTCACAGCACCGTCTGGATAAAAATAGATACAAGATGACTTCATTCTGAGAGTATTTTGATGAGCAAACCCACAAGTTTGCATGTCATGGTAATCTTTGTTGTTTCTATTATTTTGGTTGATATTTTTGTCACTGAATGCTTTCATTAATTTTTGAAAGTTTCACCTCCAAAAGTAAATCCACATGACCATGATTTCATGGACCCCATTAGTACTTTGCATTTGGTCTCAGCATATTTAGTCCATTTGTCTCTTAAAGAATAGCTTCTTCTCTTTGAAAGATCTACTTTTCATCGTTAGAGAGCTTACAGGTTTATATCTTGACCAGTTTAGTGTTTTCATGAAATCAGCAGTTACTGATTTGTGTTGTACCTCACACTTGCCTTGTGCCACAGGTCAGAAGTTATTTCGACGTGCAGGTGCGAGCACAGATTCGACTGAAACCAGCTGCACACAGGCTGAGGCAACATTCCAGGAGGAAAATCCTACTGGGATCGGCAGCAGCATCAACCCTCCGATCTCTCCACCTACACCAGAGGCGCCACATCACACCTCAGGCGATTTGGTACCAGAGAAAAACCTGAAGTCGTCTTCTGAGATCGATGACTTGGAAGCCTCAGAAGAGATGCACCCTGAAGGCCAAGAGGCAGAAGAGAGCACAAGATAGGATGACTGTTTCTGCTGGTTTTCTAACCATCTTAGAGCAACTAGCCTAAAAGATGCTTTAAAAAAAGTTACTGTGTAAAATGTAAATAAAAACAGAATGCAATGATTTGCAAATCTCAAACTCAGAACACAGAAAACATGTCAAATGTTTGAACTGAGAATATATAATTTTAAGAAAAATGCTAGCTCATTTTAAATGTAATGGCAGCAACGTGTGTCAAGCTGAGATAGGGCAACAAAAGTCTGGAAAAGTGACACAAAGCAGGACAACTTGCAACTGCAGTAATTAACTGACAACAATTCAGTAGCATGACTGGGTATGAAAAGAGCTTCTTAGATTGACAAAGTTTCTCTGAAGTAAACATGGACAGAGGTTCACCAATCTGCAAAAACCAGCTTTATTCTAAAATTATGGAGCAATTTGAGAACATCTCTGTGGCTAGCATTCCAAACAGTTCAGAACAAAATACAGCAAAGACAACCCCAGGACTGTTGAGCAGATACTCTTCTTTCAGACAAGAATAGGGCAGCTCTCGTCTCCCAAAGGTCAAGCCTCCTCGTTTCCCAGACATTTACAGATTGTTAAAAGAAGCTGGGATGCTACTCAGTATGAACCTATGCCAAATTCCAAGTTATGTTGCTGTCATCAAATTCAAAATGACTGTTGAATGTTTTCCATCAGATGTAGGTGCATTAAATTGTGATCAGCTGAGGCAGTCATCAGTGCTACCTGTCAGTTGATTATAACGTTTTAGTGTAGATTTTTCTATCAAACGGGGGATGGGCTGAAGTTTGTCAGCTGATTCATCTGGTGTTGGATTACAGAGCAGAGGAGCAGCCATATTATAGATTTCTTTTCAGATTTTAAATAAAATATTTATTAGAACTCTGGAAATGAAGCAGCTTAAAGTTAGTTTTGACCCCCTTACTGTGAATGGTTGAAGCAAATTTGCCTTCAAACATTCATGTGCGCATTAACATACAGTAAGAGTCAATTTGAATTTTACAACAATAAACAATCTTTTCTATAGAAACATTTCCCTATTAACAAACACAGTGCACATTAGCCAGAGCTGTGTAAAGCAGAATCTGATTATGGGACATGTGAGATGTTCCCGTTTTTATTCACAAAATGTACTTTTGACTCATCTCTTACCACAAGGGGTTGCTACAGAGCGATTTATGCCAGATGCCTTTCCTGACTCAGTCTCAAAGGGTATATGTGTGTCCAGCTGGAATTGAACCAGCAAACTTTCACTTGCCAAGCAAAAGTGTAAACACTACACTAGAAAACTACTTTTTACACAATAATTGAACCTGAGCAAAAAGTGGGCTTCTGCCACAGAGAAGCTTTGCCTCAGGTATTCACTGTATGAGGGAGAATACTCTTTTCTCCAAAATATTATCCTTAAAATGTAAGTACTATATCAGAGGGACAATCGGGGTTAGGGTGCTTTGTTTTTTCAGTTTCACCGGTTGCCTGTATCTTATGTCTTACTCGTACTTACAGGCTATGTGAACATACTGTATGCATTTTCTACTACTTACAAAATGGATTGTTTTCCTTGACTCTAAAGTAGCGCATCAAATAATCATTTATGAAGAGGTTTTGTGTTTTATTATTTTATTATTAAAATTAGGTGACAGGAGAGGAAATGGTTATTTTTTCCAGCTATTACTTCGGGGACACGTTTTTAAATGAATTGTACAAAAATAATTTACTAAGGTTTATGGTAGACGCACTATTGATGCTTTATTGAAACAGAAATTTAGCTAATGTCACAACACTAATCTTCAACCCTACCAATATAAAACGACATAAATCACTGGCAAACATGACATGGTGGTTTTGCCTCTGCAAGAACAAAAGTCAAAACCCTAAATTTAGCTGGATGTTTTCTTAGTTGCTTTGAGCCAGGTGCTGGTGGAAGGTTTACTGTAAAGAGTAAAGAATGGTTGGAATGAAGTTTAAAAACTAATTGCACTTATACTTTAGACAATTATTGTTCTGCTGCTTTGCATTTAAATGAAATGAAGATTAATTTTATTGTTTTTGTTTTGGGTTTTTTGTTACAATTCTAATGCAAAAATAAGTTTCTATATTGAAAAAAGTCTTGAAAACTTGATGTGAATACATCACCGTCTAGATGTTTAATGTGTTTGGAATCTTTTTCGTTTGTTCTTGTTGGTGTTTTTAAGCACAGAAATTCTTTTGTTGTAACTTCTGTCACCACATGTCCAGGGTTCGGGTAATTTCTGATTAACTGTGTCTGATTTTTAGTCTTTCTTTGTTCAGTTGGGAGTTGATCATTAAACGCAGCAGTCATGTTAATGATTCCTGATCATTTGTAACTCTTAACTGTGTCACAGACAGTGTAATAAGTTAAAGTCAATGAAAAGAAGAAAGAGAATGAAATTAATAAGAGGTAAAGTAAAACGTCTATGGCTCGCTGGAGCTCTACAAGAGTCCTTCTAGAGTTAACTGTACTACTCCACACCCATCTTCAAATTCTTTGTAAGTGATCGCTCAGAAATACTTTGGACTGATTTATCATCGCTCCGAGTGATGAGACAAGGGTACAAAAGTCTGGAAAAGCAAATAAAAACTGGGATTATATGTTCTGCACCAGAAAATCCGCTCAGGTCTGGGTGACATAAATTATCAGTGAGTGTGAGGGTCTGTGAAGATTTGTGTAGCTCTTTTTTTATCACCCAGCGTACTCTGCTGGGCGAAAAGAACTTACATTGCGATGTGACAGCTACACACCTCAGACTGCAGATTTCAAATAATAACAGGAATGGCTACTTGATTCTACAGCCAGTTGTATACAGCCTAGTCTAGGCCTAAGTGATACTAAAAACAGTTGGAGGATAATTTTGGAACTAATTCAGTTAACTGGCAGCATGTCAATAACATGACTGGGTATTATGAAAAAAATCTTAGAGAGGCCGAGTTTTTCAGACATAAAGATGGGCAGATGTTCATCTTCTTTCAGGTGCTACCTTTAGAGGTTGCCAAAGCAGATCATCTGCCTCAATCTTCCTACTCTGTTACAACAACAATCTACATGTCATCCTTCATTACATCCATGAATGTTCTCTGTGGTCTTCTGCTTTTCCTCATGCCTGGCAACTCCATACTAAACATTAGTTCACTCTATTTACTCTCCATCCTCGATACATGTCCAGACCACCTCAGCCTTGTCTCTTGTTTACGCTGGTCTGAATCAGTTGATGAGTTTGTAAACATATAAGCTTTTTTCCTGTGATTTGGTTTCTTTTCGGACAGAGAATCCAGGTGAACTGGAAGCCAACCACAATGTGTCACTACTAACCACATGAGAATGTTCAGTCCACTCATTGGGCAAAAGTGCATTGGGCCAGGGGCAACAATACATCAAACCAAGTCTCACTAACAATTTGTAAACCTACGCTTTTGCTTCTGTCAGGAATACGGTTCTGTGTTCTGGATTACTGGAGAACATGGAGAATTTCTATTCATTTTACAGCTAATTGCTAGCCCATACAGACCTTTTCATATCTATAGTACATTGCCACAAGTTTTTTTTTTTTTAGCTCAGACTTGCAATGTTGGTTGGTTCAAACTGAAGTCAGATCACATTCACCCCATAAACAGACCGCTTAAAGTTAAACTGGAACCACACCGAGATGAGCTCCTCCAAAGGGTCAGCTTTTTAAAAAAAAGTTTTCTGTGTTTATATACCACTCTGAATTGAATAATTGGTTATTATTAATGTCTTCCAAATTGTTTCTTTTTGTCCCATCTCCCTCTCCTCACCCCCGGCAGACAGCTGCCCCTCCCTGAGCCTGGTTCTGCTGAAGATTTCTTCCTGTAGTTTTTCCTTCCCACTATCACCAAGTGCTTGCTCATTTGGGACCATCTGATTATTGGGGTTTCCTTGGTATAACTGTAAGGTCTTTACCACACAATATAAAGTGCGTGGAGGACTGTTGTTCTCTGTCAGAACTGACACTCTGACAAGGGACAAAAAGAGACCGCGACTATATATACCGGTACACAAAAGGGTGATTAGGGAAGTAGAGACAGCTGGGAAAAACAAAACACGGCTGAACAAAATCACAACAGAAGTGACAAAACTCAAAAGGAAGGAAGACTCATGGCAATGCACAAAGAATAGAAATGACTAAAATAAAACAGGAAATGAGCTAAACAGGGGAACCACATAGAAATGACTGCATGGGTTTGTGAACACAGTTTGCTGTGCCATGCACAAATGCAGATTAAAACTCTTAATCATGCAAAGAAAAAGTCATATGTGAAAATGCCACGATCCTCTCTGGGCCAAAGTTCATTTAAATGGATTGAGATAAAGCTCAAACCTGTTTAAAATTGGCATTCTTTTTAGGAAACATGGGACCACATCATTATTTTATGCAAACATAGGTTCTGCTTTTTTACATAGCAACAAGTAACTCAAAACATTATTTCTCAAAAGATCTTACCCTTTCAACTTTCTTCATCATGGAATTCTGTCCATGATGACACCATAAAGGAGATTTACAGATGTGCTTTATGGTGTCCAAGAAACCCAGCACCTGCCTCTGAACACCACGCCCAGGCTGCTGCAGAGATACTGAACACCACTGATAGTGCTGCAGGATACTGATCACTCTAAGCACTTTAGACTTCAAGCCACATTTTAAACATACATACATACATACATACAGCACTTTATCTGCAAGGAGAACATTCAAGTGCTCCTTAGAAATCTCACTGTCGTGGTGTAAAACCAGGAACCTTCTTCTAACCCACTCTCCCACTGTGGTGGCAGTCAACAAGATTGCACAAAAAAATGTAGTGGACAGGTGCATTCTGAGTGAAGGAAGAACAGTTAAGGCAATTTTCTTTGAATGTGAAATACAACATAGTGCTTTATAGAGCATACTTTTCAAACGACCTCCCCTGGAATCTCTGCAGCAACTCCATATATTGAGCCCTTTTTAGAATGTTACTCTACTGCTGTTAGTTCAAAAAACCTACACAAAAATGTATTAATTCATTAATTCATTAATAAAAAAACTACAACCCTGCCGAGTCGACCTTTGAGACCTGCTTTGGCAGATATCACAATATAGCAAAACGTTTTGTAGCAATCTTAATAGTCTTTATTGATTGACCTTCAGATAACCTTCTAACAGATGCCTTTAACTTCAGAGATTATCTTAGACAGTCTGTTGGTGATATTCACTTTGGTGACTATAGCCAAAGAGCAAAGGTTGAACATCTGCTGCAGTTTGCTTACCAGCCTGGCATTGGGGTGGAGGACGCCATCATCTACCTCCTGCACCAAGCTCTGACTCACCTGGAGAAGCCTGGAAGCACTGTGAGGATCGTGTTCTTTGATTTCTCCAGTGCTTTTAACACCATCCAGCCACGACTTCTGAGAGACAAGCTGGAGCTATCGGGAGTGGACCACCACATGTCCCAGTGGATACTGGACTACCTCACAGAACGTCCACAGTATGTGAGGGGTCAGGGCTGTGTCTCTGACACGCTGGTCTGCAGTACGGGGGCCCCACAGGGAACTGTGCTGGCACCGTTCCTCTTCACCCTCTACACTGCAGACTTCTCCATCAACTCCCCACGCTGCCACCTACAGAAGTTCTCTGACGAGTCGGCCTCATCACAGGTGAGGACGACTCAGAGTACAGACAGTGGACTCTGGACTTTGTCGACTGGTGTCAGCAGAACCACCTGGTGATCAACGCCAGGAAAATGAAGGAGTTGATGGTGGACTTCCGGAGACGCAGACCCACCACACTGACACCGGTGAACATCCAGGGAGTGGACATTGAGATAGTGCACTCTTATAGGTACCTGGGTGTTCACCTGAATAATAAACTGGACTGGAGCCACAACACTGATGCTCTTTACAGGAAGGGTCAGAGCAGACTCTACCTGCTGAGGCGGCTGAGGTCATTTGGAGTCCAGGGAGCGCTTTTAAAGACCTTCTATGACTCTGTGGTGGCATCTGTCTTTCTTTTTTTTTTTCAGGAAGGCCAGCTCTCTTCTGGGATGCACCCTGGATCCAGTGCAGGTGGTGGGAGACAGAAGGACTCTGGCCAAAATAACATCTCTGATGGACAGAGTCTCCCACCCCATGCATGTAAATGTTGCTGAACTGCAGAGCTCCTTCAGTGACAGACTGCTGCATCCTAGATGCACGAAGGAGCGTTTCCGCAGGTCCTACCTCCCTGCAGCTGTCAGACTGTACAATCAGAACTGCTCCCAACAAACATAGATGTTCACATCTGCGCTGTGACTGCAATAAGTTAATTAACCGATTCGCACTACAACCTGCTTTGCCTCTTATCTGTAGTTATTTTTATTTAATTTAATAGCTGTACAGTACTCTCTGTATATAGTAACCACTAGGGGTGGGGGAAAAAATCGATACTGTGTAGTATCGTGATATTTTGTTTGCTAATAATGTATCGATACAGGGACAGCAGAAATCGATATTTTGTTACAAAAAATGTTTTTGTGGACTGGAACATGCTCTGACTTCAGAGCCTGTTGATCCTTTTTCTGAGCAAGAATCCTGACATTCCTTCACTGTCCAAATGTGTTTAACGTTTTTTTTGGCAGCAATAAACATGACAGTTTACTTATTTTAATTTAAGACATGTTTTATTTTAATTAAGTTTAAAACTTTTTTATTTAATGTAAAATTATATTTTGTTTTAATGTACTTTCAAATTCTTCAGTTGCTGAATGGGCTGCATAGTTTTCATAAATTGCATAGTTTAGAATAGCTATAATTGTACCAGATGGTTGCATTCAGTTAAGTTGGACTAGACTGTAATACAAACCGTTCAGTTTGTCAACAATAAAACTGACTTAAATGAGAGAAAGACTGAGTGTGAGACTTTGATATTAGATAAAATGAATATTGATAAAGTTTACCTTTATGTACAGAATCTGAATATCGCAAAAAAAATTTTTTAAAATTGCAATAATATCGTATCGTGCATTAAGTATTGTGATAATATCGTATCGTGGGATGTATGGTGATTCCCACCTCTAGTAACCACTGTCCTTGATGTAAATATGTAAAAATTGTGTATGTTTCTGTTCTGTGTCCTGTGTACTGTTTGTTTGTATATGTGTCTTTTTGGCTGCTGTTACAACCAAATTTCCCCTTGTGGGACAATTAAAGGATTATTCTATTCTATTCTATCTGTGTAGACAACTTTTGCTTGTAGTGTAACTAGTAGCACAGTGCCCAAATATTAGATAAGACAAATGCTTTATTTATCCCATTTTGGGGATTTTTTGTTTTGCAGTTGTTTCTTACAGATCTGTGAGACAGACATATTGTATTATAGAAGATAACAGTATGCAGTTTCCCTCTATTGTCCTTGTGGCGGTGGAGCTTAATCAGTCTGTTAAAAAGGGCTCTCTACTCCTGGCAAATGGTGCAGATGATGGTCAGGATTATCCATGAGGAGAATGCTTTGTTCAGTGACCCTCTCTTCACTGCAGCTTTAAAAGTGTCCACTTTGCAGCCAATCGCAGAGCTTGGTTCCTGATCAGTTTATCCAGTCTGTAGTCAACAGTTCCAGTGCTGCTCCCCAGAAAACCACAGCAAAGTGCTTCACTAAGCACTAGCTAACTAAGTGACCAAAAAAACAACAACAAAGCAATAAAAAGCAGCAACTCTCCATCACTTTGGTGTACACCAGCGGTCCCCAATCCCAGTCCACGAGGGCCGGTGTCCCTGCAGGTTTTAGATGTGTCCTTGATCCATCACAGCTGATTTAAATGGATAAATTACCTTCTCAACATGTCTTGAAGTTCTCCAGAGGCCTGGTAATGAACTAATCATGTGATTCAGGTGGGTTGATCCAGGGTGAGATCTAAAACCTGCAGGGACACCGGCCCTCGTGGACTGGGATTGGGGACCCCTGGTGTACACACTAAATCTTTCTTTGAGAATAGAGCCTCCTCTTCCCCTTTGCAAATACAGCCTGTGTATTTGTCTTGAAATTCAATCGGTTGTTGATGTCGATGCCGAGGTACTTGATCCAGCCCCATGATAGACATGGTTCGTGTAGCCATCCTCTCTCTGGTCTAGTGCCTTGAACCAACCACTTCAGAATCATTAGACTTTTTAAAGAAACTTGTCAAAACTCAGCTCTTCAAAAAACTTCAAGCTTTTTTGCTCAATTATATACTTTTATTTACACTATTTATTTATGCTACAGTACGCCAGAAGAAGCACTCAAAGCGCTTTAGGCTACATACTTTATTCTCCTATTCACACAACACCCAATTGTTGCCGTGACAAGACAAGAAAAACCACAGTAGTGATTAATAAATTAATGCCAGTGTCCTTCCGTTTCCACTCTCGTGCCAGCAGAGACTCTTTTGATTGGCTGCTATTTAACAGCCAATCTCGTCGATCTTAGAAAGCTTTTTTTTTTTCTAGAAAAGTATCTCATTGAAAACAATAATTATTTATCCCGTTGGGATTTTTCATTTCAACGAAATGTATAATTGTCTTGTAACACACACTTCAGAGTACCTTTAGATTGAAAAAACAAAGTCTCTCTCTCTCGGACTGACAATTGACTATGTGCACGTTAGCATATGCTACTTCCGGTGCGGAAACTCCTGTGGGGAGCTTTGTTTCCGGTGTCCTATTCGC